CCACCGCCACCGGCTGCACCAGCCTCTGATGCCGGCTGGGCCCGTGAAAAGAACTTGAAAATCGACCCCTTCTTCATGGGCCCTTCTTCATGCTTTACAAATTTCCTGGGTAGCACTGAATGCTGGGAAATCCGAAAACTCTGTTTTTCACCGAATTTTACCGAAAATTGGACGAAAAAGCCGAAATTACTCTGCCGAAGGACTTCGTACCACATCGGGCAACAAGTTTCACGGGTCTCACCATATTTGGTAAATCAGCTACGTAGGCCTTCGCGTCTTGCCATATTTGGTAAATCATTACGTAGTGCCTTCGCGTCTTCACCTGGGGACGAGAGCAGCTTGTTCCCAGGATGTTCAGTAAAGAAAACAATATGGCTGCCATGCGCCCAGCGCGATGCCGACACAGCAAGAAACTTCGGAGATACGCAGTGCAAACATGATATATCGGTATTGTCCAGGTGCAAAATTGCACATTCAAAATATTTTTAGGTGCAAATCTTGAAAATTACGTGCAATTTGCACATTGCACCTTTGTATTTCGAACTCTGTCTACTGAGGAAGACCAGTCTGAGAGTGAAAAATGATAGTATAAACTGTACATCGTCAGTTGTCCAGATTGTCTCCAGTATTGATGTTTCTGACTTAAGGTGGTACATATGGGTGCCTGAGGACTTTGGGGACATCAAAGAGATGCTGTTCCAGTAACATGAACTTAGTTCAGTTCCTAGACGTGGTCTCTTTATTCTTTAAATAAGTAACTCTTTTTACTACGCTTTGCACCTTCCTTAAACAAGAATACAGGAAATCCCCTAGGCCTATCCGTCTTACCTGGGTTTCTTGCCCATTGCCCTGAACAGTACGTCACTGATATACGCTGGGATGAGGTGGGTAATCGGGACCCACAGTTCATGCCACCATCTGGGGTCAAAAGTCAAAGGTTGCTGGTGTCAAATATAACATTCATGACAGTGTACTGTACTACAGTAATATACTATTATTCAATTTATCCTACCAGGTAACACTTTTTTCTTTTAAATCTTCAGCTCACGTAGTTCTCTGACATTTTCGAGTGAAATTTCAGTAAGGGCATCATGAAGACTTGACGTAAAACTTAGGTACACACTCTACTAGGAAGAGCCATCTTACCTGTGCGTGGTGAATTGAGCTCCTCTTGGGGGGATTCTGAAGGGTTGTTCTAAGGGCCTCTCCAGGTAAAAGTCTATGGTTTTTGTTGCTGTAGAAGAAAGGGGATAATTGTTAAATCACTAACGGCCCACAGAACGTCATTCCATCATTGGAGGAATCTCGTTGCCCATGACAAACAAAATAAAGAATGTATGATTAGGCATAATGTGTTAATCTTTTCTCAAACAATGTTTAAGTGACCCCTTCACTAAAAATTGAACAAAAAGTGTTATTTTTACTACAAATAAAATGATTCCTAGAAATATCTTTACTGACATTATCATGATTACTGCCATGGACTGGTGCAGATAGACATTAGAAATTAACTCCTGTACAGCTCCTGGACCAATTTTACCTGCACTAACCTGCATATGCAGGTGATATTTCGAGCCCTAACAAGGAAATCTTGTCTTCATGTTAAGGTAAGACACAGGTAGAAGGAAGAGGGATAGATACTAACCTATCTGTCCCCAGCAGTAGGGGTTGATGTTCCCTGTGGTGCAGTTGTAGATTTGAGTTTCTCCTGACCTGCAGCGAAAAAGTTACCGGTACAACCATGTCAGGCATACAAGTGTTATATTCCAAGACAGTGCAATAAATACATTAATCATAATACATTGTAGTAGTTAACACATTTAACATTATAAATGACAGTGGAACGGCCTGTGTCAGGGGCATCTGCAAAGCAGTTCCATTTCAAAAGCGGAATAAGCCATGATTTACCCCTTGACAGCGATGTACCAGGCAGCAGCGATCATGAGATTAATGGGAACATCCACAGGAACAACGTCGGCTTTCGCCTCAGGATCTCCATGCATGGTCCGCAATATTCCCTTTCCAATCTGAAACAGATAGAGTAATGCATTGTTATAAAATAATAATAATAACTTTATTGTGCAACAGTTGTACAGGGTACAAAGTGTGGCATCTACTAACTTAAGTAAGTACATATCAACTACATTTTCATAAGGCTAACCTAATACAAAAGTGGGTGGCTAGTATGAGATAGGTATCAACTTATACAATCATTGGAGCAGTTTCTAATATCCATACAGTCTTTAATATATATCCCTATGTATAGCATGTAGGGGTTGTCACAAGTCAATATGTATTTAAATTTGCCTTTCAAGTTCATTGTGACAGTGGTGAATGCTGGAAAAAAATCTGATAGCTTACTTATAAGATTAGTTAGTAAAGTTGTACCAAACATGAATGCAGGATTGTGAACTTTCTACAATGATGTCAGCTTGATGTCAATGTCATAACAATCCAACCATTCTAATCTTCTGAAGCTGCAATGTTCAACCAAACAAGCTGAAAACAGCCTTTTTGACAGGATGGAGCTGATACAACTGGCCTCAACCTTAGAAGTAGGAACTAGAAATTACTGAAAAAGGAGCAACTTACAGCGATGAAGATTCCTGTTGGTCCGTTGAAGTTGTCCACCCAACCCTGGGAAGAAATGGCAAGAAAATTCACAACCCTTATAAACACACAGGCAGGTAGGCAGACACAACACTTATGATGCAGAACAAATAAACTTTGACAAACTTGCACCTATTTCCTCACTTGATTGAAACAAAAAGAAAGAAACTTTAGGTCTCCCGTGCCCTTATACAAAGCGTATGTAGGGTGGTGCCCATCTCCATTTCGTAGCCCTTGGGCGACACACAGTTGTGCAATGCACTACAGCAGGGGGTTAGCCCGCTGGTAGTGCTGTTTGTTTGACCTTCCCACACTCTTTCTCATATGTGCTGAGTGCTAAGCAGAGAAAGAAGTGTGTACCATTTTAAAGTCTTTGGTATGACCCGGCCGGGATTTGAACTCACGACCTCCCGGTTACAAAGCAAACACTCTTCCAATTGAGCTATTGCACCAGTGATGAAACAGACGACAGAAAAACTCACAGGCAGAGGTTCCCTCCATGTAGCGGTGACTATTGAGGGTCGTATGATGGCGAGCGGCACGTGACCTCGCTGCTCGATCAGCAGGTTCTCAGCGATGCCCTTGGAGAAGGTGTACGTGTTGGGGTGGTCACGCACAAGGTCAGGGGTGATCGTCGACACCATGTCATCATCCATCCATCTGTGATCAATAATTAGTAATCATCAATAACTATCAATAATTATCAATAACTATCAATAATTATCAATGATATAGCTACAGTGTTGGGGTGGTCTCGCACAAGGTCAGGGGTGATCGTGGACACCATGTCATCATCCATCCATCTGTGATCAATAATTAGTAATCATCAATAACTATCAATAATTATCAATAATTATCAATGATATAGCTACAGTGTTGGGGTGGTCTCGCACAAGGTCAGGGGTGATCGTGGACACCATGTCATCATCCATCCATCTGGGGGATCAATAATCAATAATAATTATCAATAATAATCAATAATTATCAATGATATAGCTACAGTGTTGGGGTGGTCTCGCACAAGGTCAGGGGTGATCGTCGACACCATGTCATCATCCATCCATCTGGGAATGTCAATAATCAATAATCATCAATAACTCAATAATTATCATTATCAATCAATGATATAAGATACTAAAGGTCTCTGTGTTCCGGGGTGCTCATTCTCATGATCAGTTAGTGATGAAAGGTACATGTACAACCTCATCTGTATATAGTTTTTTTGCTTGGTACAAATGTTTTATGTATTATAGTGTATATGAGGGTGTGTACAAATGTATATATTGTTTGCCTTGCCTATTGTAACTTTTTTTTTCTGCACGCAAACTCTTTCAATTCAGGGATTCTCATCCCTGCTGCAAGGTTTGCTTTTGGTGTTTGAAATAAATAAATAAAGTACAGGTAGTGAATGCTTTATCAAACGTCTATAATCATCTGGCACTTTGAACAGAGAAATTAGCCCGATTCTTGGTTCATTTTGCATTACGTCACGTTTCACGAAGATGTCTAACCTTTACCGACATACACTACACAAAACAGTATAAAGTTTAGGGTTGATTGGATGACAATCACTGTTTTTCACCAACATAAAGAGGGCAAGACACAGCTTGGTAAACAAATCTTGAAAGTTCATCTGTGTTGGTAGAAGTCATTATGAGCAAGATTTAAATGTAATTGCCAACACAATTGGACAAACAAAAGGTTACAGAAAGTCTGTGGCGCCCCCCGTCCCTGTTGAGGTGAGTCCAATTTTTGTGTGTTGGAAATTACAGTTTAAATCTTGCTCATAATAGCTCATGGTAAACAGTGGTCAGCATATACTCACTCTATACAGTCAAGCAGCTTCTGAGGATGTACGCGTGGAGGGTAGACGATCTCCTCTATAAACTGCCTGTTACAGTAGGCATAGGCAGTGGACACGTGGATAAACGCCTGGGGAACATAGCAGAAACAACAAGGGCCGTGAACAGTTTCATCAGGTTGGTAAGACACTGAGACACTCAGTAACATTCTGCAACAGCTGAGGGACCTTTGAAAGACAAATGTTTGACAGATCGCTAAAAGAAATTCAAAGACAAAGAATTTTTTTTTATACATTTTTGTGCATTTTGTTGTCTTTCAAGTATACTTATACTTTTAAGTATACTTATACTTTTAAGTATACTTATAATTTTAAGTACACTTTTTGCATCATATTCCAATTATAAAATCAACAAATCACAAGAATCCAATTTTGGTCCATGAATAGTCACTCAGCAACCACATCTTATTACTAGTGAAAAATAGTTTTACAATGCCATTATGCTATTAAATGTATGTAGTATGTGTAGTTAAACATGGTTAGGACTGGTCCATTCATTCAAGACATGCTCTTTCTTATCCAGACACTTTAAGGAACGACTCTGGGTATCTTGGCAGTCGTCTTAGACATGCTGGTCCCTGGAAGGAAGGAAGGATGAGTAGAGTGGGGAAAGAAGGACATGCAGGTGAGAGAGGTGTCCTGTGAAGTGAAGCAGGCAAGTGATATTGTACTATCATGAAGGTTCATCTGTGTTGGTAGTTACGTGTTTAGAGTTAAAACTTTAGATCCAACACAAAAAGTTCTGTCACCTAGAGCTTTCCACCAGTCACTCTGGTCTTCCTCAGTAGACATTGTCTACCAGATACCTTTGACCCAGTGTTGACGTCATACTTCAAAGAAGCCTCAGTGGGTCAGTCTATATACTGAGGAAGACCAGAGTGACTGGTCAAAAGGCTCTAGGTGAGAGAACTTTTGTGGTGGATCTAAAGTTTAACTCTAAACACGGTCAGGTGATATTGTGTT